GTTTTGGATTAAATTGCTTTATCATTGCATTAATTTTCCAAAACAATCTTAATCATTGTTTAAGACTTAATCAAAACACATTGTTTTTGGTTTTTTAGAGTTTTATATCTGTAAATTTAAATGAATGTAAAGCCTTTTTGGCAAGTATTAGCCTAAAGTGTGATGTTTAAACTCCTATAACGTTTGTTATATATTTAATTCATAATTCAAAAATGAACTAGTTTGTAGAGGCTGTATTTTATTTTATTTGACTGTAAATCTTTTGTTGTTATAAATAAAAAAATCATAATGATCATAAAATGACTGCCACAACCTTGAGCCCCGAAGTGTCCAGCTTGAAGGCTCAGTTTTTAACTCCGCCCCGCCTGCGCTCAGCGAATTTCGTTGATCACCGGCTGCAGCTATAGTTGAAGTTGAACACACCTTTTGTTTCTAGATGAATCAGCCATTTTGAATGAATAATTTAATTTCATGATTCTGCAAAGTCAGGCTGCCATCTACAGGCATTTTTTTAAAGCAATCAAAAATACGATTCACACGTCAACACTGAAATTATGTATCAAATCCAGATGGAAATGTAAACTAAAATCAACTATTCACACCAAGATGAGAGATACTTTGTCGTAATGAGTATTTCAAACTCACCTTAAACTTTCTCTATTAGCACCATAGAATCTAATAGCTTAATTTTACACATTTAATTATTTGTGTTCATGTGTATGAATGTGAGGAATGCGAGGTGCCTGGAAGGGCAACCGCTGCATAAAACATATGCTGGAATAGTTGGTGGCGACTCATTCTGCTGTAGTGACCCCTGATAAATAAGGGACTAAGCTGAAGGAAAATGAACGAATGAATGATTATTGTCTCACATTCTTTTTTGGTTGAGTGAACCAAGGATTTATAAACAAATATTGACTTTGTTTCTAGATAAATCTGCCATTTTGAATGTATCATTTAATCACTTTTTAAGTCAGGCTGCCATCTACTGGCATTTTTAAAGCAACCAAAAATACTAGATATCATTATTTTGTCACTATTGCACACCCCTAGCACTATGTTCTTGCCTTTCAAAGCTCCAAAATAGCCGAATCTGCTGTGATGTGACAAGTAATGACCTTCTCATTGAAAATATTGTGCAAATGGCACAGAGATAAACTGACTCAAAACACACAATTTATTTGAATCACTGTAGGAAATGACTGTGCCATAATGTTATCAGGCTTCAAATGACCTTCACTGCAAAAACAACATTATCTCAACCATCCACACAATAATCTGCAGGTTTTAACTGTTGGTATCTTTAAAAAGAGCAATATCCTTTGCAAACAGAATGTTTTGGAGATAAGGCTGAATTTTGTTTGTCAGAGATGCACTGTAACAATGTTTGGCAGGGAATCTAAAACACGGTGACATCTAAGCTAAATGGATTTATCAAAGTCAAAATATTATTTAATGAGGCAGAATACTTTATATCCAAACTTTGGATAAAAGAGCCTCTAAATGAATAAATGTAAATGCAGCATCAGCCTGACTGCGTTTGATTACATCAGCGAAGAGTTATTTTTAAAGGGGTTAGATGAGGTAGAAATAGACACTTTGCACAAGGCAGGCTCGATGCTCCTGTTTTATGTTAGAGGTTTTGCTCTAAAAATATGACAGAGAGAAATGAATCTGGCCCTTAATGGAGTCCAAATCCTCGTCTTTCCACTTTTAGATGCTGACAAACTGTCCACCGATCTTCACAATACCGGAAATCTTGCTTGAACTATGAAAAAAAAATGTTCAGGATTTACTTCTCTCTCTCTGTCTCTCCTTTCCAAATTCAGTAACCTTGTGAGGATAATGCGTAATGCAGATTGGGACTCGTCTATAGTGCACAAGCATAAATAATGCACGTAAACTTGCTCTCAAGTGGTTTTACTTCAGGATCCAGAATTTACATTAGATATCAAGTGGCGATCCAAATAAGCATCACAATTATTTATTGTTTAAAATCCCCATCCAATCAAAGCCTAAAATTTGTTTATATTTCTGTGAACTCCAAAATGATCTACTTCATAGCATGGACAGGACAGATTTTTACATAAATTTGCTTTATAAATGTCTAAATGTTGATGCTTTTCATGCTTTGTGGGCTAAGATTCACTAGTATAACTATCATTCATGCTTCATGGGCTGTGTAACCACTACTAAAAACTCATCTCTGTTCACAGGGTTGGCGTTAGGAACTAAGAACCCTGTGAACAGAACCAGGACCCCTTCTTCATTCCCCCACCTCACGACAAACACAAACTAAATGTGCCTCAAGCAGGTGAGTGGGCTTGACAAACCACCTGTAGAAAACACACTCTTTCATCTCTTTGACACTGTAACCGACACAAGTTGTATTTCCTTTCACAACTTTAAAGGTCAGATGGATGGATGGATGGATGGATGGATGGATGGATGGATGGATGGATGGATGGATGGATGGATGGATGGATGGATGGATGGAGGGATGGACAGACAGACAAAATAGCATGTGGTGCTGATCATTCCAGGAGTCAGGAATAGTTTATTCTATAGTTTATTGGACTTTATTGACTGCAAATACTGAGTAAGTACCCTGATTGTTCTATTTAATGTTACATTTTGCAAACTTGGATAACTAATATGATCTACATGCTGCCAGGTGAATTTTTCCCTCTAGACACCAAGAGTTAATGTTGGTTAATAACATTGTACACACTGTAAAAAAATATTCTGCATTTTAATATTTTTAACATAAAGTTTTTACTCTCTCAACTAGTCTGTAACAGAATGTGTGTCGACTCAAATTACAAATATGCTGAACCAGCATCCGTTAAGTGGCGCCCTATACTTCCAATCCAGCAGATGGCGAAATATGAACCATTATTACAGTTTGTCAACTGCCAGTTACAGACCAGAAGAAGTCAGACAAATTGGATATTTTTCACCAGAATTTTTAAATGTTTTTTCATCACATTTGGTAAGTAATGCTTCTTTAAATTTGTGTTATTTTGTAAATTTACATACAAGAACTGTTTTTCTATGTATTGTTCCCAGTGTAAATGTTTCCAGAATAGATTAGACCTTTACTAATACATGTGGAGTTTGGCATACAGTAAACAAATATTTAAGCAACAGTAGACAAATAAGTTTAAAAGATTTCAGTAAATTTATATTTCAACGATTTACTGATTACTCTCATCTTGATTGTGTACACTATTTATTAAATATGTTATTATTATTTTATTATATTATATATGTTTTTTTCCTAGAATTACTTCAAACAGTGTGAGGCACTTAATGTTGATAAATTAAGTGGAGCTGCAAGTTTCACTACAACTAATCAACAAATTGTCATAAGACACTAAAAGCTGGAGCACTGCCATTATGCAAGAAATGATTTGTAGGTAAATATGATTTGTCTTTTAGCTTTATTATTTAACGTTTTGTAAATGTAAAGAAATGAAGTGAATAGATTTTTTAAATGTTTTTATACAGCACACAGATTCTGAAGAAGAGCTGAGCACAGGGGTGACTCCTTGAAATCAGAAACTGTTGATGAACACTGGAGCAGATATCTGCAGTGCACGAGTACGCTCACTTAAAATTACATTGAAATAAAGATGTTGAGATCAGATTGTATAATCTTCCAAGTTCTGGTATTGTTTTTTCCCCAGAGCCTGTGTTAGTTGTGTTTTTTGGAGTTTTACAGTTATTATTTTTTCTTTTTCCTTTTTGAGATTACTTTTACTTTACAATAATCTTGCACACAAATAAGAAAAATATTTTGTAAAGACAATACTGTAAGTACATTGTGCTTAATTGCTAAATTAGGAGTAAAAACCTTTGATAAAATGCGTAATGTTTTTTGTTGTCTAATTTGTTTCTAATTGAGAAAATCTGTTAGATTAAGTTCAGTGAACTTAAAAATGTAATTTAATGTATTTAAACTAAACTCTGCAATTTCTGCTAACTTGATAATGTAAGTTAACCTATTAAAACTGAACTTTGCAAGTCTAATTAAGTTAAAATAAGATGTTGGGTCAATTATTTAACTCTCAACAAAACATTTTAAGTTGAGAACACTTATACAATTAAGTCAATACAACTTAACTGAGTCAATGCAACAAGATGACTTAACTAAGTTGAGTGAACAAATGCTTTGTTGCAGTGTAGATAGATGGTCTTCAAGCTGATATTTTACTTACTAGTATTTTTACACATATAGTTGAAGTCAGAATTATTTGCCCCCCATAGAATTTATTTATTATTTTTCATTTTAACATTTCTCCTAAATGATGTTTAACAGAGCAAGGACATTTTCACAGTATGTCTGATAATATTTATGTCTGAGAAAGTTTTATTTGTTTTATTTCGGCTAGAATAAAAACAGTTTTTATTTTTTAAAATCAATTATTAGCCCCTTTAAGCTATAAATTTTTCTTATAGTCTACAGAACAAACCATCGTAGTACAATAACTTGCCTAATTACTCTAACTAGTTAACCTGATTAACCTAATTAAGCTCTTTAATATAACTTTAAGCTGTATAGAAGTGTCTTGAAAAATATCTAGTCAAATATTATGTACTGTCATCATGGCAAAGATAAAAATAAATCAATTATTAGAAATGAGTTATTAAAACTATTATGTTTAGAAATGTGTTGAAAAAATCTTCTCTCTGTTAAACAGAAATTGGGGAAAAAAGTAAACAGGGGGGCGAATAATTCAAGAGGGCTAATAATTCTGACTTCAACTGTATGTAAGCTTTTAATTCCAATTTAGTTTGACCCTATAATAATCTATCAGTCCACTAAAAATCTAATACTGAAATGTAGTTTGAGAATTAAAAGCACCATGACTATTTTCCTTGTGATACATGATCAGGACGAACCTGTGACCCAATTTATGATCCCCTGGTTCTACAAAAAGAAGAGCTGGAAGCAGACAGAATGAGGTTCAGGAGGACAAAGCTAATTCACTACCTACCTTCTGCAGCCACTGCGTATTGTTCTCAGTGGCGCTCTCTAGGGTCTCCAGCTTCCTTTCCTGCCAGCTGGGTTCAGCGTGGGGCGACTCGGGGGCCGAGGGCGAGTCCCGCTGGAGGGAGTTGGTCACCTGGAAGTCTCCCGCAGGCTGGCACTGCTCCACCTCTGGCAGGATAAAAGTGTAGCGGCAGGGGCCATGCTGCACCTGGTGCTGCCGTCGCTCCGAGCCAATCGCCACCGCCACTGCTGCTGCCAGGTAGCACAGACACGGCAGGCTGCCCATCCCAGGAAACCACTGACGCTGGAGAAAATATTAATCCGAGGATGGATGAAATACTGCGGTCACTCAACTGGAAAGCAGGTTTGAAGAGAGTGTTTCTCTCGGATTAGCACTTTTGACTTTTGTGAAGTTCGGAGTTCAAGTTCTGCTTCTTTTTCTGTTCTTGATGGGTCGCTCCAGGGAGTCGTTTTTCCACTTGTAGTGCTGTTTGCCAAAAAAAAAAAAGACGGCAGCCTAAAAGGGGAAGATTGTTTGCTATTCCTCGCTCACTTTACAGTCAGGACAGCTCAGCAACAGAAACATCCTCTCTGTTTATTTACCCTCTCAATAGTTTTTCAGTCTCCTTCGGATCACAATCCTGCCTTGGATGCTTTGAGTTTGAGAACTTCTGAACTCAATGCCAGAGCTTTTTAAAGACCGAGTCTAACATCCCTTCTTTTGACACATAATCACTCACCCCCCCCCCACCCCCTCTCTCTCTAACTCTCTCTGTCTCTCCGTCTGTTATACACTCCCCCATTCCCTTTCTCAGCATTTTGAGAATGGAAGCCTAAAAATGCCCAAAGCAACCAGCGGCAGCACCACCAACACACACAAAACAAGCCAAACAGTGAACATTCTCTTTTCATTAACCCCCTTTCCTCACGTTCGACCCCCTGTCGGCTTTGCCTCTCAGTATTGGCTTGTGGCTCCACACCTGCACCGCTACAAAGGCAAATAAGCAGGACATGATGATGTAAGGCATTAGCAGGGGTTAAACTGGGATTTTTGAGCTTTGGAAGCAATGATCTGATGAGTGCCTCTCAATAGGGTGTCGCTGCAGAGGTATGCTGTGAAGTTTATGCATGTGAAATCTGAGAAAATATGTTTATTATTATTATTATTATTATGTGTTCTACTGATGGTCATGGCTTCCAAATTTGTAATGTTGTATTTTATAGTATTTGCATTAAACATCAAATAAGGTGGGCAACACAGTGGCTTAGTGGTTAGTACTATTGCCTCACAGCAAGAAGGTTGCTGGATTCGAGCCGCGGCTGGGTCAGTTGGCATTTCTGTGTGGAGTTTGCATGTTCTCCTTGTGTTCGCGTGGGTTTCCTCCTGGTGCTCCGGTTTCCCCCACAGTCCAAAGACATGGGCTAGAGGTGAACTGGGTAAGCTAAATTTGTCTATAGTGTACAGTATCTGTGTATTTCCCAGTACTGGGTTGCAGCTGAAAGAGCATCCACTGCATGAAACATATGCCGAATAAGTAGCCGTTTCATTTTATTCACCCCTGATCAATAAAGGGACTAAGCCGAAGGAAAATGAATGAATGAATATTGTGCATGTGTGTGGTACTAGTGTTCATTAAGTTCATCTTGGACCAAATTTGTGAAATTTTTGACCTTGTGGAAACTTTTTTAGTCCCCATTATGAAACTGCATTATAAATCATTAATGAGCGCAGTAAAATTACATTCTAAAACTTTATATACTTTTAGAGTTAGGGTTGAGAAAAAGGACAGAACATACAGTTTGTACAGTTTAACATCCTAACCTCTATGGGAAGTCCCCATAAAACATGAAAACCCAATGTGTGTGCGTCCATGTATGTGGTCTTGGTTTTTAATTAAGTTTGTCATTTGACATTTTTTTTACCATTTTTTTGGTTTCGATTATGAAAATGGCAACCCAGGCTCATTCTGAATATGTGCCCCATATACAGTTGAAGCTTATATACCCTTTAAGCTATATTTTTTCTCGATAGTCTACAGAACAAACCACTGCTATACAACAACTTGCTTAATTACAATAACCTACCTAGTTGGGCTAATTAACCTAGTAAAACCTTTAAATGTCACTTTAAGCTGTATAGAAGTGTCTTGAAAAACTGTGGCAACTCCAGATCAATAAAGGGACTAAGCCATAGAAAAAGAAAAAAAGAATGGTGTGCGTGTGCCTGGTCCTAGCATTCAATAAGTTCATCACGGACCAAATTTGTACAAATTTTTACCTTGTGGAAAACTTTTTTGGTCCCCATTATGAAACTGCATTAAAGATCATCCATGAACATAGTAATATGACATTGTAAAACTTTTTTGTGCGTTTGTGTGAGGTTACGTTTAGAGTTAGAGGTAAAGGACAGAATATACAGTTCCCCTTCGGTTGGGGAACTTCAGTGCCATGAATGGGAGGATTCGGATCAGAAGCCGCTTATCTGGAGAGTATTGAACGGGCCAATGAATGAAATTAATTGGCAGCGTAAGCTTGCGCAGGTGTGCGACATCTGCAATTATCTCAGCATATAAGCACACCTGAAGCCAGCAGACGCCATCCTTTTCGCTTCAGATCCTTTCTGAGTGAGTCGATGAGGGTTCCTCTTGCTGATCAGCACTTCAGAGCGAACGAGCGTGTCTCCCGGTCCAGAGTGGGTCTTCGCGGTGGCAGACGGTCGAGCTGGGTTACTCCCTTGCCTGCGGTTCTTTGGGTCCGGTCCTCCAGAGCGGTGCGTATAGTTGCAACTTTCCTAAAAGAGCAACACAGTCGTGCAGCACGTCCTTTTCAGGATGGCGCTCCGACTGTGCGTTTCTGGATGCGGGGGTTTCCTGTCTCCGGATGATGGACACGATCACTGCATTGCATGTTTGGGGGTCCAGCATGTTAATGCGGTGCTCGCGGGCGGTTCATGTCGTCATTGCGATGCCATGACCGTTGCACAGCTAAGATCGCGGCTAACTTTCGCAAGAGAGCGAGCCACCCCAGTTGCCTCCTGTTCTAAAAAAGCAGCGGGCGCTCGGGCAGATCTGAGGGTTTCAGCGGGAGCTAATCCGCCGCCCACGGGCTCGCGGACCTCTCGCTCCTCACGGCGCTCCATCCAAGCTTCGGGTGGTGAGAGTGATCCGTCTAACCAGATGGTAGCTCTCACACTCGCTGACACCGGAGATCAGATGTCCTCCGCGGCATCGGAGGGTGGGCTTTCACTGTCCGACGAAGATCCGGACCCGCTCGCCCCCTCCGGGCAGGTGAGCGCTGTCAAATCGGATCCTGAAGCGGACATGTTAGCCGTGCTTTCCCGGGCTGCTTCGGCCGTGGGGTTGGAGATGGTTTATCCCCCAGCTCCGCGGCCGGACCGACTAGATGGGTGCTACGTAGAGGACCAGAAGGCGAAGCCTTCGAAGCCTCTCGTCCCCTTCTTCCCGGAAGTGCACAGTAGGCTCACGCAGTCCTGGAGGGCACCTTTCTCTGCCCGTGCTGCGAGTGCCTCCGCCCTCACCGCCCTTGACGGCGGAGCTGCCAGGGGGTATGAGGCGATCCCGTCAGTGGAGCGCGCTATCGCGGTCAATCTTTGTCCGCGCGGCGCCTCTACGTGGCGGGGTTTGCCCCGCCTCCCGTCCAAAGCCTGTAGGTTGTCTGCCTCCCTCGGAGCCAGAGCTTATAAGGCTACGGGCCAGGCTGCTTCTGCTTTGCACGCGATGGCCACCTACCAGCGCTACCAAGCGCAGGCGCTGGCCGAGCTGCACGAGGGCGGGTCCAACCCAAGCTTATTACATGAGCTGCGCACCGCGACCGACTATGCTCTTCGGACTACTAAGTCCGCCGCGTGTGCGCTGGGGAGGACGATGTCCACACTTGTGGTTCAGGAACGCCACCTCTGGCTAAACCTGGCCGATATGCGCGACGTTGACAAAGTTCGCTTTCTTGACTCGCCCATATCCCAGGCTGGCCTGTTCGGCGACACCGTCGGTGAATTCACCCAGGAATTCAAGGCGGTGAAAGAGCAGTCGGATGCGATGGGCAATGTCATCTATCGGCGTGGCCGTAAGCCCGCTCCGCCCGCCGAGCCATCCACCTCCGCTGTTCCTCGCCGAGGGCGCCCGCCAACGAGTGCTGCCCCGCCCCCGCCTGCGCCTCCGGCCAAGCGGGCGCGGCGTTCACCTCGAAAGCAGGCAGCCCCTCCTGCCCAGGGCGCCGTTAAGTCCGGTAAACGGACCGCGAAGCGTCCCTGAGACAGGCCATCCGGAGAAGAGGAAACTTGCTCTTTCCCCGCTGGAGGGCGGGGCCCCGATAACAACGGTACTTTTCAGTGCCACCAAAACATCAGTAAAAGAGCACTTTTTCCCTTCCCCGGATGTGACTGCACGAGTTCTGCCAGTCCGGGACGCGCTGCCTTCCGGCTCGCAGACTCTACGTGCTTCGCCAGTGGCTCACGAGCGCTGGGGGGACGGTCTCCCTTCCCTCAGCCCTCCAGCCCCCTCTCCGGAGTCAGGGTGCGGAGCCAGAGCGAATCGCTCTCCTCCAGCTTTTCCGCGGGACCCTCGTGCTTCCCGGATCAGCACACCCACTCCGCGCTGCCCCACCGCTGGTACGTCAGCGATTGTAGCGATGACTCCATTAGCGAGGGCTCTGCCTGCCTGGTTAGCGCGGGCCAGCCCCTCGCGGTGGCTCATACGCACAATCAGACTCGGTTACGCGATTCAGTTCGCGAAACGGCCCCCCAAGTTTACGGGCGTGTATTTCTCCAGGGTCAACCCCCTGTCCGCCCCTGTCTTGCGAGAGGAGATTGCTGCCCTCCTGGCGAAGGGTGCAATCGAGCCGGTTCCTCCAGCCGAGATGGAGAGTGGGTTTTACAGCCCATACTTCATCGTACCCAAAAAGAGCGGTGGGTCACGGCCAATCCTAGATCTGCGCGTTTTGAACCGCTGTCTGCACAAGCTGCCGTTCAGAATGCTCACGCAGAGGCGCATTCTCCAATGCGTTCGTCCTCGGGATTGGTTTGCAGCCATAGACCTGAAGGACGCGTATTTCCATGTCTCCATTCTTCCACGCCACCGCCAATTTCTGCGGTTTGCGTTCGAGGGTCGAGCGTGGCAGTACAAGGTCCTCCCCTTCGGGCTCTCTCTGTCTCCGCGGGTCTTCACCAAACTCGCGGAGGGTGCCCTAGCGCCCCTTCGGCTCGCGGGCATTCGCATACTCAATTATCTCGACGACTGGCTGATTTTAGCCCACTCGCGGGAGCAATTGATTATGCACAG